GACAAGGACAAGAAGAGGACAAGGCCCAGCCACAGAGGACAAGAGGACAAGGCCTGGACACAGAGCCCAGCCACAAGAGACAAGGCCTGGACAGAACAGAGCCCAGCCACAGAGGACAAGAGGAGGACAAGGCCTGGACACAGAGCCCAGCCACGGAGCCCAGCCACAGAGCCCAGCCACAGAGTTCAGGGGCGCGGCCAGTGAGTGTGGCCAGCTCTTTTGTTTCTAAGATAGAACCCCAACAGTAAACTGTTTGAGAAAAAAACACTCTTCAGTCCTCCTTCTCTCCCGAACCCAAACGCACCGCGGCTCCGCCTCCCCCCCGAACAACGACTCGAACCACTTCGTCGCCGACCTGGACTTCGCCCTGGAAGACGTCGTGGAGCAGCGAGTGGCCTTTCTTGTCCTTGGTCTTCCGGTGGAGATAGCCCATGAGCCTCGCCGGGCGCCGGTTCGGATCGGCGCAGGAGGAGTCCCGGGGACCGGTCCACCTCCGTTCAGTTCGTCGGCGTGAACGGGGGATGGAGGAGGGCGGGCCAAAAGGGCCCGGCCATGGCGGAGAAGACTCCGAGGCAACAGAATGGATGGTTCCCAAACAACAAAACACACCAGCCTTAGAAGGTAAGAAGCTTTGAACATGTTTGAACCACATCTCATACACCTACAGTAGTTTTCTTGTTTTGTTTGATCTTTGTTGTTTTTTTAAATATCTCTTGTCTTGTGCTTGCAAGTGGAAGTTGTGGAAACATTGTGGGGGTTGATTCAAAATGATTCAAGTTAATGAAGCCTCCTAATTTTAGCTTGCACTTGTCTTTGTCAGACTTACTAGGGACTAGTGATGCTTTGGTCCCTTCATGAACCAGCGTTCGACGCTTCATCAGATTCGCCCCCTGCCCCGCGCACGTGGGGGAAATCGACACCGCGACTTGGCCCTCCAGCCAGCTAAAGAAGGCCACGGGGTCCATCTGCTTTGCATAGAACCTGAAAGCCGCGCACTCCCGATTTTTGGTCGCTCCATCAGTGGAGGGCTGGTTCACATTGGTTCACTTTGGGGGGAGGGGAGCTAATGGAAGCTGCCAGAAAGTCCGACATCTCAAAAGCTTTCGGCATCTCAAAGCTGGCGCGACCTGGCTGGCGCGAGTCTGACATCCCAACACTCCGCTCTGAAGAGCGGAGTGGAGGTGACTCTCCAAACGCGACACACAAACCGCTTTTGGGGGTGTCTTCGGCCGGGCCCGCTGACGTGGGTGACGCGGATGACTGAGTCACCACGCTTCTTTTGAGTGACACGGCCCACCGCCTGATAGAACTCGTGAGGTGACACCACCCTGGGCACGCTGAGAAATCAAGCGAGCCACCAAGCAGGACTAATCATGCTAGACTGGAGAAAACGGGGATTTTGAAGTCCAAGCAGGAGTAAAAACAACTGAAAACGGGCAAATTCCGCTGAAAGAAGAAATACTGCCACCAATTGCAACCTCAACTAAGAAAGAATCAAAACCTGGAAATGTCTTGCTGTCTCCCTCAAGTCCAAATCCGTCCTTCCAATCATCCGCATTCCGCGTCCTTCCAATCCTCCCGCGTGTCCGGGAACCTCTCCAGTTGACCGACTCTCACTCTCTGACTCTCTCTCTCTCTCTCACCTGGTGCGGTGAGTCTTTCTGGGCATTCCGACCCTTTGAAGTTCCTGGGATTGTACATCTTCCGGAAGAGCTGCGCAATGGTGGCCAGCACTGGATCCGGCTTCCGCTCCGAGGGGGGCTGGTAGCCCAAGAGGTAGTTGCGCAGCGGGATCACCTGGCACCCAAACAAAGGGAAACGTGAGGGTGGTGTTCTTGAGATCGTCGGAGTCCTGGTGATATGCTGTGAGCTGAAGGATTGGTGGTGACATGCAGTGACTCTGGCCAAGATCTCCTACATATTCAGCGGGTCTTCCCCCCCGTGTGTGTTGTTTGGCCGTGATGGATGGATGGATGGATCCATCATCCTGGATCACGACCAGACCTCGTTTTGGAGAGACTTCTCGTTGGTCGTTTTCGCCGTGGTCCTTTCTCTCCGGAGAAACTTACCCCAGAACCCATGGGTGTGGCCATCTTTGCCTCTTTTCTCCATACGCTTTGAGCAGAACTGGACCACCCCAGAAAAGTGTGCAAATGTCCTCCTTCCCCATCCAAATCATTCCACTGCATGATCATTCAACAAGTCTAGCAACTGTGTGTTCGGGTGTCTGTGTGTTCAAAATCAGTTGCGATTGAAGCCAGCTACGTGTTCTTTCTCTGCGCGGTTCTTGGACGCTCTCTTGATCACCAACCTGGATGATGTTACGGACCGACTCTAATCTTATACAAATTAGAGACCCGAGGTTCGTGGGGAGGACGGGAGCGTGTCTGAACATGGAGATCAAAGCTCGAGTGGAGTGGAGTCCTTCGTTTTCACAGGCCAATCGAGGGGCAGCAGAACTGACGATGGCAACTTCTCATCTGTAGCTACTTCTCATCTGAGGTACTGTGCAAAGCATCTGGATGATGACATTCTGGTAGTCAGAGTCCTGGATGTTGTTGAGACCTGGGCGACATCACTGGCTCATGGTGAGCCACCTATGAAGAACTCATCTGGGCTGCAGACCAATGCAGCCAGGGATATAGTCTGTCCCATCCAGAGCTTTGGAGTATCGCACCCGAGTCGACATGAACTCGATCTCCTCGTTGCAGGGAGATGTAATCTGCCTACATTCTACGGAGGCAAGGTGCATGCGTCCTTCCATCGTATCAATTGAGCACTTTCATCACTTCGTAACTCCGGAAGAGTCGAACTCAAGAGCAGTGCTTTTTTGCACTCACTTTCCGGTCCGCTCGCGGGAGATGCGGAGGGATTTGGGGCAGATACACGCAGTGAAAGCCGGAACTTGGCGTCTCCTCTTCGTCAAAGTTGGGATGCAAGTTGTACTTGATATCCTGCCAAGGTGATGATGGTGTGTTTTTGGGCACAGGGACACTCACTCAGCAAATGAGTGAACACGTGAGAAATCACATAATTAGTCATGTTTGCGTGCAGCGCACAAAGCAAAAACTATCTTTCCACAAATAGGATAATGTTGCCGCAGTCAATGTTGACGGTTATTGCAGTTATGCCTGCAACATTTATATACGTTAAGGCATGCTGCTGCACACATGGGCGATAATGCGGAAAATGCAAAGGAAAGCTTTGTGTGGAAAGCCGTGTGGAATGTCTGCATCACAAAGTTGCGAGCTCAAAGGCTTGAAGTCCAAGAGTAGAAGAACAAGCGTTTGCATGTGCTGTGAGAGTCACCGCAATAAGTTCACCCCAGATCAGAGGCTGACAAACGGCAAAAATCCCTTATGACACGAACCACCAACGCCATCATAACCCCCTGGCAAACCCCTCTGCCCATTGGTCAGACCAACTCCTCCGGTGGTCCGTGGGACGGAGTTTGGTACACCCGGTGAAGCCCCCGCGTGTTCGCCCCGGTCCCCGGCGGTGTCCTCCAAGGACTTGTCCACCACTTCATAACCATCGGGAATGCAGAAGACCTTGCCGTCAGCCGAGTTCATCCACACGTAGTGGCCTTTCTCCAGGGCATGGCCTCAGGGGTGGCGAAGCGCTTTGGTGTTCCATGGAGTTCCCAAGAACATCTAGCGAGTGACATTCCGAGGTCCATTCCCCATCCGAAAGCCCGTAAGGTTTCGCTATCCCTCGTGGGACTTCACGCTGCTCAGAGCATCGGCTTCATTTGTCATGCGTGGCTCATGACCACAATTTCAACCCTGCGCACAAAGACACACACAAACACGCATCTGCGTCTTTCTCACCTAGAACACCCGGTGTCACCTCACAAGTTCTTGCCATCCTTACACATGGTTGTCACTCTTCACATCCTCAGGCGAGCGGCGGTACGCGGGGGGTGTCTTTCCCGCGACCTTGGAAGAACTTCCCGTCCACCAGGTCGCAGTAGACGTTCTCCCCCGACAAGGTCATCGAGCAGAGCTTCTCGAAGTCGAAGTCCAAGACATGCCTCAGTGGAAGCCGAAGACATGCCAAGACGAGCTACCATACCCGGGTATGGATGAGACACCCGGAGGTCTATACCCATGGATCCAATAGATGATTTGGCAAGTGAGTGGCTTGAAGTTCATGGACGATGTCAATTTGAATATGGGATGCCATATAACATGATAGAACGATTGTGCTTGCAACACAGGGTACAGGCTTGCGTGGAGCAGTGACTCATTCAACCGAACTCATAACCGAACTTATGGTTATGGTGTAGTTTGCAATTGCACACGCGAACCTCTTTCCATTCTGAACCAACTAGGGGGGGCCGACCCAAACCATAGATGTTGTCCAATCATGTCCAATCCGATTCTCAGTGTTTGAAGCTGTAAGCATGCTCCACTTTCCACGGTGATCCCTTCCAACACCTTCGAGACTCCGGCCTGTTGATCGTACCGAGGTATGGGCAGTCCATGCCTGCGAGTGGCTCTGATCATCTCTCTGAGATTGCATCCTACTCGCCCAGCTTCGCCCAGAGTTGACCAAACGACGGACGATTCGGGCCCAGAGTTGACACGGGGAGTGGCCAATCCGTCTTGGCATTCACCGTTTAGAGTCTAGTGCCCAGGCATCCGTCCTACACAGAGTAGGTTCTACGGTCCCATCCTGCAGTCAAGAACCTAAACAAAGGCTACGTTTGCAAAAAGACTGTAAACAGTTTAAAGAGTCCCTCCAGCCATCCAAACACCAAGTTCCAAGGCCCTGGCGCTGTGGCACCTCCTCAGCCCTTTTCTTCTTTTTCACCTCACAAATCAATATGCCACATCAAGAAAGCATGTTCTAGAAGAAGCTGGGAGCACAATCACCTCAACAAGCCGGGTCAAGAAACCAGAAGAGATGAGAAAGAGATGGACCAGAGTCCAGTCTCTTCACACGTCGACGTTTTCGTCCCAAGTCAGTCCTCAGGGCGCTGAGGCACCACAAATCCAACACCATCTGGATTAAGAATGTGTCCCCCAAAACTGGCAGGGAATGGGAGCGATCTTTAAAAAATGATCGAAAGACAAGCCCAGGGTGTGTTGCCCAGCCAAGCTGTTGGCTCAAAAAGAGCCCTTCGCCCTGTTCATCTCAGCAGGGAGGTGACCAAATCTGCACCAGGACCGCAACATTACTATCTCAGGCCGGCCCAGTCCCCCAAAAGAATATCACAGAGACCGAAACTGCTCGACCCTGCTATTTTTGCATCTTCCAAACTGCTTCCTGGCAGTTCGCACAGTCCTTGCCCATTCTTTAGCAACAAAAAGTTTACACGTTTGGTAGGGAATTGTAGGGCCATGAGTTTACTTGAAGACCAGCACAGCGGATTCTTCGTTCCAGCGCAGACACCTGTGTCTCCTCCTCATCATCTTCCTCCTCGACAGGCCTCTTCGCAGGTGGCAGGTCCTTCGCAGGACACACTCAGAGCTGAGCTGACGACACCCAGACCGCCAAGGCAGTATCTGCTGGGACACCAAGCTATGAGGCAGCGGCAGTGGGTCAAAACCACAATGCCCTCCATGTTTGCCCTTTTACCCACTTGATCCGTCACATGTGAGATTCATCGCTAATGGTTTCGGGCACGAAAGGGCATCACCTCATAGTTTATCGTGCGGTCGTTGTTTTTGTAAATTGCTCGTGTCTTCTTTGGAGCAGTGGTGGTCACCTGGAAGAAGAAGACTTGCAAGTCCTAAACTACCCTCCCCAGGATCCTATAGTGGGTCCCCACCTGGAAGACCCTCCACTTCGGCTGGTCGGACTGGTGGAGTGAATCAAATGAACTTTCCCTTTGCTACTAGTAAGGCACCTTGCTACGGACGTAGCTTCTTGCTACTAGTAGTAATGCCCTTGTTACGGACGTAGCGATGCCCTTGTTACGGACGTAGCCTCCCCGACGTCTGATCACTCCTGCGCCGACATCCCCTTCGCCGACTCGTTTGGGTCACGTGCGCGGTGACGTACGGCTTAGAAGACGGGAACACAACTGTTGGATCCGGACGGTTTACTACCCGGTTTACCTGGTGGATACCAAATGTTTATCCTGGTTGGTGTGATTTGTTGGGGAAGGACATGTTGATATCATATCACTATCACTGCTGATGTGCTTTAAAGGCATGAAGCTTTGAGCAGGAAACTCAGAGTTGACACAAAAGCATCCAAATTGAGAACGCGACTTGCTGCTCTACTTTGTTGCGATGGAATTGCGAATAATGTAGTTTCAATCTTGTTCAAAGGTGTGGTGTGTCCCAGCGCATAGTTCGGTGTATGGATGTGTCTCAAACATGGAGGGGCTCGGCAACTACTGAGTCTTCATCTTTCTGCCTGGGGCCTAATGCCCTTGTTACTGCAAGTAATGCCCTTGTTACTAGTAGCTTCTTGCTACTAGTAATGCCCTTGTTACTAGTAGTGATGCCCTAGCTACTAGTAGCGTCCTTGCTGCTAGTAGTAATGCCCTTGTTACTAGTAGCGATGCCCTTGTTACTATTTGGTCTAGTCACTCTAGTCCAAGACAAAACCCTTTTGTGATCATCCCTGTTTCCTGTGTCCTGTAAACCATTGAGCGAGTATCGCACAGTGGCACAGCGGTTCGGTGATGATCCCCGTGCAAAGCATTGCAGCTTTTGTTCTATTGAAATCATCCGTTGTCTCTTGCACCTTTGGCGAGTCGACAAGATCGGTCGGGGCCTCAGTCTACGGTTTGTTGCCGTGTTCCACGCTGCAAGGCATGTTCGCCTTGTTAAGATCTGGGCCTTCCGATGGAATCTGAAATAAATGGATGTCTATTTATTCAAATAGGGCTGACTCCAGACCAATGGATTTGGTATTCTTGTAACTTTGTGCCCCTTGGGAATTCCAAAAACCCGGATCTTTGGAAAGTCTTTCTTTCTTTGACTCCACACCTGAATGGATCGAAATCAACTGATCGGTGCCTCAGGGGAACCCCGGATTCCATCCGCACCCAATCAGAAGGCCCTTCTCTCCAGCGTGATGGGAATCATGGATTAAGACAGCGGAGGGCCAAAATGCCCTGGGCAGGCAAAGCCATTACAGTACATCTTGTGAACCAGGTCTACAGTGACTGGACTAGACTGCTCATCTTTGCTCTTCATATGATGCAAACGAAAACCAACACAAAGGACGATTCCGCCGCCGATTCCACCGCCGCCGTGCTCACCCACTCTTCCCAACCGTGCCCCGGCGGTGGATTAGAAGGCTCCAACAAGTCTTCGTTCTCAACGGCCGGCGACATGCTGAGGGCTGGTGACGCAAAAGTCACACATCTTTGCCCTTAAGACAATCAACACAGCTTGGCTGAAAGGATCTGTTCAACAAAGCGAGGATGTTCAGTCCAACGAAACGACCCTCATATCATGGTGAGGCACCGAAGAAGAACTTGGGGTTCAAGGCATGCCACAAGCTTGTGGTGGCATTGAAGCTCAAATCCTTTGGGTGTGGCTCTCAAACTTTGGTCTCATCTTCCTCCTCACTTCAAGGGCTTGGGCTTTGAGCGCAGGATTCTTGAGCCACCCCCACTTGGCTGTTCAGTGTCTTGAGTAGAATTCTATGCAGTATACAGGTCTTCCTCTGGCAAAAACGGCTCGAACAGCCAAGTCTAGAGATCTGGCTTCGATCAAAGAATGCAAAACAATTGCTCATCCAAAGGAGTAGCGGCGTGGCAAGTACAGCACTGTACAGCCCTCCAGTTCACGAACTAAGAGCTTGGCGGCAAGTAGACTCGTGTAGGGCCCTTCAGTTAAAGGACCAAGCGGTGGGTCTTGCAGGCACTCAAGTTCCCGTCCTGGGCAATGCAGCACCAACCAGATGACTGGTTGGGAAGTCATGGGCCTCTTGTCCAAGATTCGGAGTGTTCATGTCAGCCCTCTAGTAAACGAACTCAGAAACCGGCAAACATGTCTCGGACATTCTCCAACTACAAACCCCGTGGATGAACGCATGCACCATCCGAGATGTGGCCGTCGTGGGCCCGGTTAGGGCGTTAGGGCCGTTAGGGCTAAACATGTCAGTGGCATTTCGATCAAAGACACGCAACTGTGTGCTTCAACTCAAGACCAGCCACTGTGGCTCCAACTAAGGTTGAACGGATGAAGCTTCTTTGTGTCGCTGACTTGGGGAGGGAATGGCTTTCTGCTGGCGGCGGGCTTTCTGCTTCGGTGTTGGGTCGGATCAGGGATCGGAGGATGCGAAGCGCGCGATGGGACCCGGGCACCCGGGCATCGGGGCACGTGTCAACGGTCGAGATCATGCTGCCCTGTCATCGGCGCGCAGCGGAAGGTCTTTGCACCCGAGACAGACGGCGGAGAGCTGCGAGGAAGTGAGACCTGTCTTAGTAAGTGGACCGGGGAGACGGACGAGGAGACAGACGGACAGACAGACAGAGCGAGAGGACAGAGAGAGAGAGAGAGAGAGGGTTTACAAGTTAGTTAAATGGAAAATGTTTGTAAAGAAAGAAAGACAGAAAGAAAGAAAAATTGGTGTGCATTTTGATGGGGAGACACCCAACCAGTGGGTTTTGATCTAAAATGTGGCTCGAAAGAGTCGAACCGTTTGGTTAATATATCTAAATATATCCTCAATCTTTCCACTGATCGTGGCCATGGTGAAAAGAAGTGAAAACCCACGGCAGTGCCTATCGCAGGAAGATTGACATGGGCACCTAGTTGCTTGATGGATTTGCATGGATTTGCTACAAATTGATTGGGCCTCTCACCTCCAAAGAGAAAGCAAACCCGGAAATCAACCACCTCCGCTGTTTTCTGGGTCTTTGAAACACGCCGAACACTGCACCATCGGCCCAAGAATGCAACTTTAGAACCATCACCCTAACAGCCTTCTGGGTCCCGTCTTCACCGAGCTGCCCGTCTTCAACTCCCCGCCCTCGCCGCATCACATCACTTCCTGCGGCAGGATCCGGGCCTCGAAGTAGAGTCCGCAGATTTGCCTCCCCGGCATGGCCGCGAAGCGTCGGGAGCCGAAGGCCTGGCTGCGCGGGGTGGGGAACCACCCGGAAGGAGTCGGCGAGCGTCCCCAGCAGGATGGCGAAAGGAGAGCTTGTACATCGGTTGATCCAGTAACTATTTTTCTTGAGTGAGTCAAACGATGGAAAGGTACCAATTACAGTATAGTATTTGATAACTCGAAGCTGCCTCTTCTACCTCCCTGCTTTGTCTTCAAGCCCAAGTTTTGAACGAATTGTCTCGCAGAAATGCACAGTCAAGAACAATCAAAGCTGACACATGCTGAAACTGTCATGTATGTGAAATCAACGCCTCCACCGACGGTCAACGCCCTCCAGTCCTCCATACCCTTGAGGCAAAAAATGCTTCCCGCAGAGGTGTAGAATGCCAGCGACGTTCCCAAGAAGGCATCCCGGCACAACTGCGGCAAATGTTGGTGATCAGGAATTGACACTTGAGGCCATCAGCTTGACTGACTGGAAGAAATTATGAGCTGAAAAGGACATCAAAGGCGCAAAGTCATGTCAAAACTGGTCCAAAGGAGGCCCTTATCCATGTCTCTGCACATGAGATGTTGAGCAAACCTGACCTAACACAAAAGAATTTATCCACGCTTTCCGATTCATCACTGTTGAGCACATGGCACAGGCCCTGTTTCAGGATATATTTTTCATTGTTTTTGTTTTTTTTTTTCTGTCGCGAACGTGCTCCCTGCGGAAGGCCGAGATGCTACTCAGGCAAACTCCTTGCGCTTCATCATCTCCTCGTCCGACATCTCCCGGACAATGATCTCCAAGTGAGTGCTGCGTCTGCGGTACGCATGGGGTTGTCCCTTGGACATGGGCCTCATGCGCTTGGAATAAGGCCCACGCTCTGCCTGGCAGCGGTAGACATAGAGCCTGGATTTGTCCATATTGAAGTGGTTCTGAGCATTTGCAGCTGCTGATTGAAGGCAGACCAAGGTTGGGCGACAGGCTCTCCAAGGCATAAACTCCAAGAGCATCAAAGCTTCCCGATAGGACCTCCCGCGAATCTGCCAAAGAACACGGCGGAACTTCCAAGGAGAGCCTTTCAAGAACCTGGCCCGGCATTTGGCCTCGACGACCTCCCCCCCTTCATCAGTCGTGAAGAAGCTGTCGTCCAGCTCGTCCTCACCGTACACAATGTCATCATCGTCAGCCTCGAAATCGTCGTCATCTTCATCCTCATAATCGTCTTCGTCATCCTCATCGTCGTCTTCCATCACGATCTCATCTAGATCGTCCTCCTCCTCCTCCTCCTCCTCGTCATCATCATCTTCATCTACCTCCTCATCTTTGTCTTTCTCCTTCTCCTCGCTCGATGCTGCCTTCAGCTGCACCAAGTGTGCGCGGCATGCCCGGCCGGAATGCCTTTTCACCAGGCGAAGACTGGCTGCCAAGCATCCTGCCAAAGCCACAGCTGTGAAGATAGGAGCTGTTGGCACAGGGGAGACGGGTGCCAACACCTCCTCCGGCATCTGGAAGGATGCTCTGGGCCGGGCCCCGGTGACGGGGGGCACAAAGGCAGACATGAAGTTGTCAGCCGACATCATCATCAGCCCACCCAGCACTGCGAGAACCAGAGCAGGTGCAAAGGCAGCTCCCCGTGTCTGCATGACACGAGGGCTGTGCATGCCGGAGCCCGTGCCGCCTCTGGGGACTTGGCACAGTGTCCCTTAAGCCAGGATGGCTGTTAAAACACAAGTCAAGGAGCAAGCAATGCACACAGAGCCCATTCTGGTCTGAGCTTACACCCTTAGACAGTTTAAAAAAAGCAAGACCGGCGGCTAAACAAAGCTCCAACGGCCAAACCGGTTTTCTGCTCACTCGGCGTGTGCAAACCCGCCCCAGCGCGCATGCAAACCCAGCCTGCTCTACGGCGTTGATGTGTTCCCCAGGTTCCAAGGCCCAAGGGCCTTGGTCCACACCTGGTATGTGAAAAAAAGACATCTTCAATGTGTTGGGCGACGTGAATAAGGTGTTTGATGCAAGAAAAGCAAGGTTAAAGCAAGGTCATATATACCTGAATTCAAGTGATGTCCATCCTTGGGATATCCTCGGAACAGAACAAAACTAAGACATGTTAAACTGTGTTTGTTCAAAGCCACCTTTGTCGGGGTGAGACAAGTGGCTGCTGGCCACACCCTGTTGAATTGAAGGTGAAAAAAAAGAACGTAGGACTGCCAAATGAGGTAACCACAAGGCTCACAAAAGGATAAATCAGATTTCAAGTAAAAAAAAGTTGTCAGTCGGAAGCGCCGATCAAAGAGTGATGTCACAAAAGAGCAGCTTGTTCGCGTAGTGTGAAGAAGAATATACAGGGGACTTAGTCCCAAAGAGGCTCATCACACAGAGTGCTTTCGCAAACAGGAATTTGTTCACAAAGAGTAAGTAGTTCATGAAAAGTGAAAGAGGAGCTTGAGCACATAAAGACTCTGACGCAAAAAGGCTCAGTCAAAACGAGTTGCTGCGCATGTTTTCTGTCGTCCAACTTTGACGAGGGGATCCATCTCTACGCGCGTCAGGCGCCCTAAGTTGTGCAGAAATAACTTGGTGTTGTGGATGATTGTCATTTCGTCTCATGACATGACCGAGCAGTTTCACATGTTAGCTAGCGAAGACTTCAGTGAGGGGTTTGATCTTTCTGAGAGGGCCTTGCCAAAGAGCATGGAGAACTTCATTGTATGCACGCTCATTATTGGTATTGTTGCTGTTACTGAAAGTGGAAATAAACCAAAAATGGAAACCGTTGGTCTACAATGCCAGTTATTACCTCCAAACAAATTTGTATGGAGTCTAGAGTCTTGAGAGAGCTGAAGGAGTTGGCCGACTCCTCCATACATTTCAGCTACAAGGGTTAAATGTTGACATTCTCACGTTAACAACTCAAAGTGCTCCAAAAATAGAATCAAACAGATAGAAACATGTCCAATACATCTTTAGTGGGGATCTACTTTTCTATCTATTTGGGGGTCTATATTCTATATCATTCATTCCTATTCATTCCCTACACTCCTGCCATGCTTTCGGTCGCTCCGTCTTCGGCTGAAGCGAGCACTCCGACGGCACGGTCTCGGCCGCGTTCCGAGCGCCGCACCTCTCTCTGAGTTGCCATACTCGCGCAGGGACCCATCCCTGAATTTGAGCCAGACCTGGCCGTGAAGCTGGTGGACACCGGCGAACACAAAGGAAAGAGGGCAGAGATCCAATCCCAAGAGCGGAATTTGAGGTCTCTTTTAAAAAAAATAGATAGAAGGATCCTGAAGGACCTGCCACATGTGAGGTGGGTACCCAAATTCTCATGAAACAACTACGCCAATGAATACGGGAAAAAAGACCAGCTGCTGGCTTCCACATATCCCTCATCCAAAATCAGCGACTGCCAAGTACTGAGTCTGTGCCGTTTTCTCCATCGTGGCACCTTGTCCACCGCATGGCCCACGCGACCTCCCAGGGATGCCACCATGCCCGGCTCCTGGCGGACTCGGGCAAGGCCCATTCAGAAACACTGCCAAGAAACGCCTTCCATTATGGATGAAACATGATGAAACAATGTCAAGGGTTCCCTCCATTATCTCTTTCAGGATCTTTAAAGGAACCCAGATGTTTCTTCGGGTCTTTTGTGGTCATGACAAGAGATCACGCCATCGCAAAACAACGCCCTGACATCCCTTGATGTCGAACAGGAAATTTCCCCGGCGAATCGTTGCACGAAGATTGTGTTCGAAATCTTCCTGGGACAAGGCTAACATAGGGTAGCTGGAGTGGCCAAATCTATCTGGTCATCATGATCATCCAATAGAAAGTGACGAATCCAAGAGAGTGTTCTGCCTTTTGACCACTGCGCCTCATTCAAGATCTTCTCAAGATGAATACCAATCAAACGATGTCCTGGCACAGGGCAAGCTGGGCAGGTGCAAGCTAGCCTCTTCTGCCATCCAAACCGGGGATCTCTTTGGAAAGAATCGCACTCACTCAACTCACATTCACATCTCAATGTGCTGGCTGCATCCTGCTTCATCGCCTCCAAAACAGCACACACACACTCTGACATTGGTTTTCTGTTAACTCAGTTCCCAAGCTGAGAA